CTAGTACATGGGTCAGATTATTATAAATTTAACCACTATTTCTGGTGTGTATTATGTAATGGACTTGAAGGATTGGTTTGATCCATGAAAATGTTAACTTATCAACTGGTCTTTGAACAGCACTGCAGAGTATAAGTAACACCTTGTTTCAAAAAATCAAATAAAAATTGCAAGTTTCTAGCCATACTACCAAATTGTATAAACACTGAATGTTTTCAGATTTGGCTTCTTGATGTTTCTCAAAAGTGCTTAATACCAGATGTTCCAAAGTTCAAAAACCCAATTGATTGTGAGTTGCATGGGGGAACTTCCCAGTGGATTACCACATGAAAGACTCATAATTTTGGGAAATGTAAATAATCTTATTTCTATCACATAATTTCTGTTGGCATGTAAAGAGCCTGTTAGATAGTTTATGCACTAATAATTTGTTTCATGGCAACTGAAAATCAGATTATTTGTATGGATATGCATACATATCACTGCAGGATTGTCAGGAAAACCAAGTCTCAATTTGGGGTATGCAGAGGGCAGATTTTGAGTATTTTGTAACCTTTGAAATATTTAGGTGATGGTGCTATGACAAACAGTCATTGCATCACATATTTTCAGACCGATCTTTTTAAAAAATTGAAGTGAATTGAGAGCATTGAAGAAGAGCGGAAAAGCAGTATTGAAACTTAGTTGAGGTTAGTGGTTGTAGTATGAAATATGTACCTATCACTGAAGAAATTGAGAAGTGCAATCAAAGAGAAATCGGAGAAAAAAGAAATTAGAACAAACAAAAGTTAAAGTCAAAAGAGCAGAAATTGGAAGAAAACAATGGATATGCGGAAAAAACCAAAGATAAGAACACAGAAGGTAGCTCATTCATTTAAGTTTTTTTTTTTTATTCTCTTTTTCAATATGTTTTTCAGCTTCTTCTATTTGTACCTTCTGGCCAGCTATTTTAGTATCAGAGTTAATGTATTCAACAACAGCTTTAGACATTTTTTGAGACATCTGGCAAGAGAAACCAATCCTTGTATACTTGTCAGATGGTGAAGCACCATCCAAGGTCTGATGAACTTCTTCCTGGGATCTGAAGACACACATGGTGACCCCTACAACTTCATTCAAGTCAATATAGACCTGAAAATCGCGAAAAGTAAACTGACCACCAATCATGTCAAAGCCCTCATCGGCTAAAATCGGATCATCGTCTTTACAGTTTCGAGGGTTGAAGATTGAAATCCAGCAGACTAGGGTCCAGTTGTTGACGTCAGTATCCTTGTGGGGTTTGTTGTAGAAGTTGTAAATAGTGAAAGTGAAGAAAGAGGCAAAGTCAAACATGGTGAAGGGGGAGGGATATTCCATGTGAGCCAT